CGCGGCCGTTAACGGCTGCCCGCGCGCGGCACTGCGGGCGGGGGCCGCGCGGCCGTTAACGGCTGCCCGCGCGCGGCACTGCGGGAGCCCCGCCGCCGGGGTTTGCCCCCTTTCCCTGGCCCCCTGCCGCTAACGGCCGTTAACGGACGGCGAGCCCGGCCGCGCCGTCATATGGCGGCGGGCGCAGAGCGCTCCTCGGTGAGTGCAGCCGCCTTTGAGCACTGCGGGCGAGACGCTGCAGCTTGCCAGAATACGAAATAAAATAAAGGTGCTGAAATACCCTCTGTTGGCTAAACCCTAGAATAAACCGGCTTCGAGGAGCCGGGAGTCGCAACAGCYCGATCCGGCAATTATGTAATACTCATTAGAAGGTTAATTTGCTCTTGGAGCAGCGCGGCTGCAAGCCGCGCGCTCGCTTCCTCGAGGACGTGGGCTCAGCGGGCACATGCAGCGCGCGGGCCTCGCGCACGGCTGGCACGGCTCGCACGGCTGGCGCGGGCGAAGCCTGCAGGCAGCCGCTGCGGAAGGATAGCAGGGAGCTGCTCGTGTGCCCRGCACACGGACAGTGCCCCTGCGCCCGCCTCCAGGGCCGCACTCGAGGGCACCCGAGTTCCCAGTGGGTGCCGAGCCCTGAGCCAGCGCGACAGCCAGGCAGCAGGTCTCTGYAGACTCCCACCGCTGTGTTTTTCCCCTTTTTTCTGTCAAGTTTTCTGCGCGAGTACGTGGCGGTGCAGAGAAGAGGCCCTGCAGGTGCAGTGTTCACCTCACTGTGCGCCCGCAGCAGCTGGAGGTGCTCCGCAGCCCCGCACCCAGGTGCACACGCAGACACATGGYGCCCAGGGACTGAGGGATTGAAACCTCCTCTCACATTATCACCCAAAGTGGAACAAACAAGTTACACATACCCACAGGAGGGGAAACGCTTTCTGTAGGACCCTTCAGCTTCATCAATACTGAAAGAAATTCTCATATCTATTATTACAGCAATCAGAGAGCGCTAGGTAATTAGCAAGCACAAATAAGGCAAAATTACTGCACCATGTTAGATGCCATTTCTCTACAGTTTTACAAATCTCCAAGCTAACACCAAGTTCTCAAAGCCTTTTTTTTTTCTGCCTCCCAGTGAAAATGGTTCTGCCCATCAAAACTTGGCATTTATGCCATCATCCATTAAACCGCAGTGCTGTATATTTTATGAGAACAAAATGGTCTTGAGTTGACTTCATACCTCAGATAAGAACTGAGCTGTACATGTCCCGGGAGACTATTACTGTCTTCCTCTTCCAGCACATCACATGCGAACAGGGAAGAGAAAAACATGCGCTGCGACGACGCATTAAATAATCACAGGAAGGAAAGTAATACCCATCATCAAAGCAAGAAGGAGCCGAACATTCTCGCTGTGGGGATTTCCAGACACTTTATGTACACGCACGCATCATGTACCCTGTAAAGTTACCGGCCACCTCAGCCCTTTCTGCAGCCCGCAGGCAGGTGACACCGTTACCTGGCTATAACCATCACACAGCAGCCTCTCCCCGGCCCCGGGACGACGCAACCTCACGGCAAAGCGGGGCTCAGCTTTAGAGCGGAATGTGCTGCGGTGCAGGCAGTCAGCGGGCTGGATGATAATTAGAAATTACTATTTTCTTCTTTCTGGGAGTGCTGCTGCTGATCCCTTCCCTTTTGTTGATGGTTGGCAGATACTCTCTCATCGTAAAACAACAAAACAAGGACCTCACTGCCTTAACTGCTCATCTAGTAACCACAAAAATCATTTGCTAGTTACAGAAAAATTACTATATTATTTATTCTGCACAAAACAAAGAAGTATTTTTCCTCATTTTAGATACAGATACCACTGGCAGATTTTGACATTTTAATGGTGACTATTTTTCATCTAGCAATCTACCTTTCTTGGAGCAGAAGTCAGGAATTGCATAAGGATATGGATCTTGCCACATTTAATCCTGCTGCCTGTAGCGGTATGGTTCTGTGCAATGGGAGAAGCCCCCTCTCTGCCCGGCGTTCAGCAGTGCTGGCTRCAGTATCGCTGGGCAGCAGTTAAGGCTGTGCCAGGTCGGAGGCTGCTTTTCACCAAAAGGCCTAACCTCGGTCTGGCCTCTCTGCAGCACATGGGGAGGCAGAGGCTCCCCCGGGCCTCGGCCACCTGGGGAGTCACCTTGGGAAAACCTTTGGAAAACCTCTCGGCTAGACTTGGTGTCACAAATGCACTGTGCTCTCCGTTACAGGAAATAACACCAGAAATGATTTCAGACTTTGCATGAGCGGTGGGGAGCTGACACAAGACTGCAGAAAATCAAGCAGTGGTGCCAGTCACACCCTGGGAAAAGAAGCAGAGGAGGAATAAGACTCCAGATCTTCAGATGCTTTTGAGGGCCTCATAGCAAGTAGCAGAGATGATGCACCCATTTATATCTTTACTGACATTTGCAATAATCATTACTTCAGTAACTTAATATGCTCTAAACCAACTTGCTTTGTGGTATGAAATATGTGTTCATCACAGACTAGCATAAACTGAAGCAAGCTAATTTATTAAAAATTAAGCCAAGAAAACTAAAAGTCGCTGTGTTTCTTTCCCTATTTCACATACATTCAATTTCAAAGATTGGTTTTATTTTGTTTGAGCAGAAGATAACTTTTCAAGGAGGTTTTAAACCATAAATAGCAGACACATCATGTCATTTGGAAAAATGTCTCCACCAAAATTATACAGTTTCCAGTGGACACAAGTCCAATCTTATTTCCCGTCAGTACTGCCAGCTCTTAATTAATAAAATTTCGTGTCGTCCAATTCTTTTCCTGTTGGCAACATTTCTAGCACCTTTACCAGTTTGTCATGTGGCATGCTGTAATTAAGACCGTCTATTACTCCTAATGAAAGACTAGAATGAATTACACAAATCACCCGCAGAGCTCTATAATCCCCACAAGAACACAGATTACAGTGCAACAGACCAAAGAAACAACACGCGTTTCTTTTTCTTTTTGGTGCAAGATGCATTTTGAGCGAG